GTCACCTGAACGATATTTGCTGAACCATCGTTAACACTTATGAACGTTCAAAACATTTCCAGAAACTTCTTTGATATTCTTTGTGGCTACAGAGGCGTTGATTCCCTTCTTATATTCAAACAACATTACATGCCGAATGTGTGTCTCGTCATGTGCCATCACTATAAAAAATTAGAGCATACTAAACTATACACATTATATAGGCTACAATAACGTGACGTTTAGGCGGTTCGTTTAACTGTTATACGTGATGTACGTTTTTTGGGGGTTGGTTAATGAAAATGCGATATTGATTTCTTGAGGGCCTAATAAATCCAGTGGGAGCTGTAGAAATCAGAGAATGAGCAGAGGGTAAAGCAGAAAAAGCCTATCAACACCTATTTAAACACAATGGCGGACAATCACTTTTATCACAGCCACAGATGGTTTCTACACCAAAGATACTGAAACTGCTCGCTTGTCATTCATCATTTTACGGAACAATACTGCATAAGGATGTTGGAGCATTAAAGCTTCCCAGAAGCAGCACGAGGATGGAACTGGAAGCCATAAAATAAGTTCACCTCCGGATTTCTGAAAGCAATGAACCACAAATAAACAGTACCATCAACATAATATTTGTGACCGACTGAATCACAGCCAATATTACATAAAATTCAGAGTGGTTGGTCCCCAGATGGATGGCAGAAAGTAAAGCAACTGTATGGTAAGACCATCACATGGAGGTATGTACCGGGTCATGCAGGGGTAAAGTTAAACAAGAAAGCTGACAATATTGCATTAGTAGCACTTTTATCAAGTCCAGCACAACTCCACTGGCGGGTTATCAACCTCCCCTGTTATCAAATCCAGCAAAACTCCACTGGCGGGGTATCAACCTCCTCTACTCCAGTAAAGTGAAATGTTTTCATCGACATTCAGAAATGATGAGACTGCTGGAAAACAAAATACCCTGTGGCGTAGCTTAGGAAAGACAGTATACAGACAGAATGCAACTGGTAACACCAGTAAAGGAACTAATTATTCTACCTCCTGCAACGAAGTCGATCTCCACGTGTGGTCAGCACCTGGCGGTGTAATCAACTCAACTTCTTTAAGTTATGAGTTCGACACTCTCAAAAGTCCAATAAATAATTAGAATTTATATTTTAAATATTTATACAATATTAATTATACTATCATACTTGCAGTATCGAAATGCACAATTATAACAATAAACAAATTAATAATTTAAAAGACTTACCATACACACACACACAAGCGAGTAATGAATTTGGAGACTTCAGTTTGAAATAAACATTTGAATAAAACTCGTATCAGGTGGCTTTCCAGATACTAAAATAATACTGTGGGAAAAACAATATTTTAAGAACTTAAATCATTTCGAAAATATCATAGACAATGAACTTTAATAATTAGGCTTAATATTGTTATTACAATGGAAATAGAATTAGGCCTATTTTAGATTTGCGATATTCCCAAAAGCATTTAAGTTCTTAAGCCTTTTGTTTGCAAATAATATTTGAATAAATTTGCAGGTATGTTTCCATGAATTCGAGGAGTTTCTTGTACACTGAATTAAAAAACACAGAAGTCTGTAAATTTACATATTATCTATGTAAACAAGGCTTGGTCCCTGCATCACTAACACTTAAAAGACAAGTTCTAAGTAACCGTTTACTTCTAACTACGTCCAACTAACGACAACGTAATAAACTAATAATAGTATGTTAATATTCAAATTGTTTGAAATTCGACCACGTCCGTGTTAATCCTGATAAAATTGATAAAATGACCAAGGCTACGCATAAACTTTTATTTACTGTTCACGATCAAAATCTAAACGCCACCCTACGCTTTAAAGTAAAATTTTACAACAACCATACCACATCGTCTGTGACTTTGAAGATGTTATCTCAGTCTCAGACGTATGTTCTTTAGCCTATAAATTATCAATGTCATAGAGTCATTGTGCATGAATTATCTGTAATATATAAAATTAAAAAAAAATGTGAATTTAACCGATCACTCACCTCAGAATTATTTCCAAAATTTACAGCTTCGTTTACAATAACTCAATAACGTTTTGGTGATTAAAATTTCCTTCTTTCAAAAGAATTTGGTGAAACATTTCTCCAAAAGATATCAAAAGGAGAACACTAAAATAATTAGTCTACCGGCCCCTGGTGCTAATACAAAAATTGCGACCCCCTCTTTTTTTCTTTCTTTCCCTTTTTTTTTAATACAGTTTCAAATAAACCTTGTTATTATTATCCTACTTAAGTTTATCAGTTTGATTCCTGAGACAACATTAAGATGGGACAGGAAGTTATTTGTAAGAAAAATAATAACTAACCGCGGGAAAACTGGCTATAATTTTAAACACGATTTTTGTAGGTACAATATATATATGACAGGTACAACGAACGTTTTAATAGCAAGAACTTATGTTCTGATAAAAAAGACAACCACAAAAAACCCGATATACCACCTACTCAAACTAATTCAATCAAGAAATATTAATAAGGGGTACACCAAATTTTAGTATCAACTTACAAAGTCTCCAAATATGTGTAACCTGCGATGAATTTTTTTTTAATTTTTCAAAATAAAAGCTATTAATACTTACGTTCTATTACATGCTTCGCTTCCTATCAATAATTTTTTTCTGTATTAAGTGACATATACATATTCAATATAACTGTTTATAGGCATTACCACTTTTAACAGAGGACTATTTCGCCTTTCGAATGGCGTTTACGAAAATTATACATTTCTGTGGTTTCAAAATCTTTTATTTTCTATGGCTTATTTTGGATGATAATAATACTACAAAGCTTCCCTGACAGAGCAAAGAAACATCAAAGTTAACTAAAATATTTATAAAAGCATACTTTTACTTAAATTTAATGAATGTCAACAACTGAAGGATTATTTGGCTGTCAAAGTTTTGAACACATGTTTGTACGATTCAAATTTTCGAAGATGAAATGCATTCATCCACTGCCATCTGTTGTCAAATATATATATACATTTATACGTGTATGTATTTGCTATCAAGTAATACTAAGGTATTATTTTTACATTTGTTTGTTTTGGAACAAAACGACATAGGGCTATCTGCTGTGTACACCGCAGGGATCAAACTTCGAATTTTAGCGTTGTAATTCTGTAGACTTACTGCTTTTCAACCGGAAGATGCAATTTGTTTTACGAGGAATACATTTTATAATAAAACAATTCTTACTATTAGATGCATAAAAGCCTTAAAGAACGTATTCTTCTTAGCATAAAAATATAATATAATGAAATTTTGGTGAGAAAACAAGCAAAGTCAAGCTTTTGAGTTAAGATGTATTACTATTGTTTTTAATTTTAATAATTACTTGAGTTTTGAAAATACTTTCCGTGGTATTCAGAAATAAAGTAAAATTTAATAAAAAAAATTTAAAATGTTTCAAAAATAAAAATTTAGTAGAATAAATATTTTTTTATGTTTGGTATATTTAGTTCTCCAGTGGGTCAGGAGTAAGTTTATGAACTTACAATGCTAAATTCCGTGTTGAATAGAATGCAGATAGCCTATTGTGTAGCTTTATATATATATATACACACACACAGAGAATAGAAAAAAAAAACAGTATTTTTAATTATAAAGTTGCAGTTTAAAAGTCGGAAGCCAGCGAAATATTGGAAATAAATAGGCCTAGAAACTGTTATAAAACAGTTTAACTGAAGGTATTTTACCACATTTCTTTTAATTTCTCCATTGCTGCTCAGAATCAGAGGTGTGTAAAAATAACATTTCAGATCTACCTTTTTCACCAACAGCTCGCTGCCCAGAAAGATTTTCGTTCAATACCAGAACTGATCAGTTGTACTAAATGATGAGAGACAAATGCTCTATGAAATGCTATATATATACACAATATAATATATTAAAAGTTACTGTTTGTGGTATGAAGGGGAATCTGAAAAACAATCTGCAGTTAACCTGATTTTTATAACAATTTTTAGGTCTATTGGTTTCCAATATTTCGGCGTTCAAACTGAGTCTAACCAGAGAACTATTAAAAACAACATATTGTTACGTCTCCGTTTGTTAATTAACTTTCCGTAACTTCGTTCCGACAAAACTTTAGCGACACA